ACCACTCTACCACCGGGGCTCTGGAGTAGTGCTTAGGCATTCATTTGTGACTTTTAGGAGTTCTTTTCCTGCGCTCCCCACATCTCTGTGATCGCCCCAGTCTTTTCCAGTTCCTTGAACTCACCCTTTCATTTCTTTGACCTTGAGGTTTCTGTCACTAACCCTGCTCTCTGTACACTTCCCATGGCTGCAGCCATGTCTAGGGCCAAGCAGCAAGCGTGCTGGGTGAGGAAAAATCCAACGGCATTCCTAGCTCCTCCAATGGATGGGAGCGTGAGCTTTCAGACCCTGGTGGCTTTGTGTCTTCGCAGGACCCGCTGCACCCCGCCCTGGGATTGCCTGGAAGCATGAAGGAGTAGAGAAGAGAAAACAGATCATTCCCCCTACTCTCTCTGAGTGGGAATCACCCTTCCTGCTCTTCACCCAGAACCAGACAAGACTTCTAGAACTTTCCCTGTCCATGGCCCCACACTTCTGTCTCGGGCTGCCGTGAGTCTAGCCTCGGTCATTAAACATACATCGACTCAAGCTAGTTGCCATCAAGGCAATGCTGACTCATGGCCTCCCCACGTCTTTCAGAGTAGAACTCCGCTCCGTAGGGTTCTCCAGTGCCTGGCACCTGTCAGAAGCACAGTGCCACACCTTTCTTTTGGACAACCTCTAGGTGGATTTGAACCACCAACCTTTCCATGAACAACCCAGGACTTGACTGTTGGAGCCTCCCTATCTCGCCAACTCACTCCCCACCATTAAGTCCATTCCAACTCTTCGTAACCCTGTAGGACAGGGTAGCACTGCCCCTGGGGGTTCTGAGAGTGTGACCTTTTGTTTGTTTGTTTGCCAACAAATGTTTAACAATCTCTTTTTATTTTAGTTATCTATTTCCATCACTTAATGTTTGTTTTGTTCGTAACATTTTATGGAAGGTTCTGACAGCTCTTGTAACAATCCACACATCAGTTGTATCAAGCACATCGGTACATCTGTTGCCATCATCATTTTCTTTTCTTTCTTTTTTTTTAATCATTTTATTCGGGACTCACACAACTCATCACAATCCATCCATCCATCCATCCATTGTGTCAAGCACATTTGTACATTTGTTGCCCTCATCATTCTCAAAACATTTGCTTTCTACTTGAGCCCTTGGTATCAGCTCCTCATCTTTCCCCCTCCTTCCCTGCTCCCCCTCCCTCATGAACCTTTGATAATTTATAAATTATTATTATTTTATCACATCTTATACTGTCTGCCATCTCCCTTTGCCCACTTTTCTGTTGTCTATCCCTCAGGGAGGAGGTTATATGTAGATCCTTGTAATAGGTTTCCCCTTTCTACCCCACCTTACCTCCACCCTCCTGGTCTTGCCACTCACACCACTGGTCCTGTAGGGATCATCTGACCTGGATTCCCTGTGTTTCCAGTTCCTATCTGTACCAGTGCACATCCTCTGGTCTGGGCAGATTTGTAAGGTAGAATTGGGATCATAATAGTCTGGGAAGGGGTGGGGGGAAGGAAGCATTTAGGAACTAGAGGAAAGTTGTGTCATCATTGCTAGCCTGCACCCTGACTGGCTCCTCTCCTCCCTGGGTCCCTTCAGTAAGGGGGTATACAGTTGCCTACAGATGGGCTTTGAGTCTCCAATCAGGACTCCCCCTCATTCACAATGATATGATTTTTTTGTTCTTTGATGCCTGATACCTGGTCCCTTCACTACCTCGTGATCGCACAGGCTGGTGTGCTCCTTCCATGTGGGCTTTGTTGCTTCTGTGCTAGATGGCTGTTTCTTGTTTACCTTCAAGTTTTTAAGACCCCAGGTGCTATATCTTTTGATAGCCGGGCACCATCAGCTTTCTTCACCACATTTGCTTATGCACCCATTTGTCTTCATCTGTCATCATTTTCTAGACATTTATTTTCTTTCTTTTTTTTTAAACATTTTATTAGGGGCTCATACAACTGTTATCCCAATCCATACACACATCAATTGTGTAAAACGCATTTGTACATCGTTTCTCAAAACATTTTCTCTCCATTTAAACCCCCGACATTAGGTCCTCATTTTTCCCCTCCCTCCCCGCTCCCCCCTCCTGCATGAGCCCTTGATAGTTTATAAATGCAGACATTTATTTTCTATTGAGCCAGGGTGTCAGCTCCACTTCCCCCTCCCTCCACACCCTCCACCAGACTGTTACCTCTTCACAGGATTAGAAAGCCCCATCTTTCTCCTGAGGAGCGGCTAGTGGTCTCCAGCTGCTGATCTTGGCAGTTAGCAGCCCAACACACACCCCAGTGCGCCACCAGGGCTCAGAGACCCGGGTCAATGGGACTTGGCACTCTGGTCTTCTTCCTCACCCCAAAACTGGCTTTGACACGTCTTCGGAGGGCTGCTGCCTGCCTTCCGTCCAGGCCTGAGAGCTACGTTCTTTGAAAGAGACAAGGTGTCCAGTGTGTCGTTGCCTGGACACTTGCCTGCAACAGGAACCCCATTGTTCTGTTTCCAGCGATGCTTATAAAGACCAAATGTATGTATATAAAGTGATTCAACGGTACTTTTAGAAATGTGGTGAGAAAAACCCTCACAAAATAGTTGCTTTTATGAAATGTTAGATACGTAAGCGGTGCCTTGGGAACATGCACAGCGTCAGGAGCCATGCCAGCCAAGAAGCCTACATATGGTCGGTGTAAGTCAACCCTCCAAAATGTTCAAAAGGGTCCACATTCCTCGATTTGGGCTCCATACTCTGAGTAGCCTGAGACTGGGGGAAATGAAAGAATAAAGGGGCCTTTGGGTGAGATGGATGTAGCCGACCCCCTGGGCAGCCACGTTCCACAAAGATTACTGAACTGAACGGTCGTGACGACGTTACACACTGTAGCTCTCTTAAGCATTCGCTTGGTGAACTGAGGTTCATAACTGTCCTGGAAATGGATGTGGTAACGTGGACTCCCTCTCTAGAAATGTGACCTGGTAGATAAACAGGTTTTGCTGAGGAGGTGCAGCGCATTAGAGCCCGCGCTCCCCCCCCCCCACCCCCGCATCTCCACTGGGTCTCCTACCTGTTGGGACTCTCTTCATCACACCTGGGCCAGGTGGAGCAGTCGGCCTTATTTCAGAAGTGAGGAAATCGAAGCATAGATATTTCCAGAAAGTTGTGTGATTCGTGCAGGAAGTGACTAACCCTCACAGAAGTGATGCCGACAGAGCCTCCCAGGGTCAGAAGGAGGCTGGATGAAGCTTTAGCCCAGAAACTGAAGAAAGAAGTGTCGCCAACGCTGTGTTGTGGCATTCCAACATGGGGCACCCCCGTGTGCAGAAGGTGGGGCGGCTCCGCTGGGATTTCAAGGCTGTGTGACCTTTCAGGAGCAGACTCTCACCGCTGCCTTCCCAGGTACCCCTGAGCAGTTGGAACAGCTAACTGATGGCCGGTGGTTGAGCACTTCCGTGCTTATGCCCCCCGGGGATTCAAGTCACCCATTTTCAGTGTGCATTTGGATCAGCCTTGACAACTGTGCACAGCCGTGCAAGCCATCCCTCTAAATACAAGATGGAACATTTCCCACTAGGAGCCCTGGCAGCACAGTGTTTAAGCACTCGGGTGCTGGCAGACAGGTTGGCAGTTTGAACTCACTAGCTGCTCTGAGGGCATCGTGGGTAAGCACTGGGCTGCTAACTGCAAGGTCAGCAGTTTGAAACCACCAGTCAGTTGCTCCTTGGGAGGAAGACAGCTTTCTACTCCTATAAAGAGTTAACATAGATAGATAGGTAGGTAGATAGACAGACAGACAGGCAGGCAGGCAGGCAGGTAGATAGATGATAGATAGATAGATAGATAGATAGATAGATAGATAGATAGATAGATAGATAGA